GGCTAGCTTTAGTCAATGTAGGTTTCTAATCACAGGTTGTTTTAGCCCACTTTGTCTGTGCTGGTTATCAAACATTGTCACAGAGCCAGACCCTTTGGTCCAACCAGTCCATACTGAGTGTAATCCCAAACTAAACTAATGTCATCTGTCTGCACTTGGCCCACATCCCTCCACAGTTCCTATTTGTGTGCTTGTTTCTAATGTCTTTTTAAAAAGTGTAGCCACATTCACCACTTCCTGCAGCAGTTCATTCCACACATGAACCAATCAAACAATTGCCTCAGTCTTTTTAAAGTCTCATTCCTCTTAAGATGCCCCCTAGTCTTGAAATCACTCCCTCACCCTCAAAATACACCTGCCATTCACCTTGTCTAACATATTTTATAAACCTAAAGTCAACCCTCAATTTCCTATGCTCCAGCCTCCTATTTTTAACTCAATTTCCCAGTAAACTTCTTCTGAACCCCCTCCAGCTTATCCTTCCTGTAAACAGGGTCACCAGAACTGGACACAGGCCTCAACAATGTACTGTACACCCTCAACATAATGTCCAACTCAAATTCAAAGGTCTGAGCAATGAAGGTAAACATACTAATGCCTTAACCACCTTTTTTAATCTATATACACCAAGCCCTAGGTCTCTATTCTACAACACTGACAAAGGCTCTAACATTTGATAAATCCTACCCTTTGGTTCACCAAATTGATATCTCACTTGGCCAAACAAAACACCAGCTTTCATTTCTCAGCCCATTGACCCTTTTGATTAAGATCTCTATGTAAACTTAGATAACCTTCTTCACTGTCCACTATACGACAATCTTCATGTCATCTTCAAACTTGATAAATGTTTCCTAGATAGTAGGAACTGCAGATGCTGGAGAACGAGATAACAAGGTGTAGAGCTGGATGAACACAGCAGGCCAAGTAGCATCAGGAGCAGGAAGGCTGACATTTCTGGTCTGGACCCGAGCGGCTTTCAAAATATGAATTTGTTCTCTAGCTGCCATTTTTTATCCTCTTTAAAAACTGATAAAAGATTGTCAGCTTTCCTGCTCCTCTGATGCTGCCTGGCCTGCTGTGTTCCTCCAGCTCCAGTGTGTTGTCTCTGACTCCAGCATCTGCCATTCTTGCTATTTCTAATCCAATTATTTGTGTATTGAGGGTTCCTGCCTCTACTACCCTTAAGCAGTGAATTCCAGATAACAACCACCCCCAGGTGAAAATTGTTACCTTAAATTCTCTAAACTTGGTCACACAAAGCTGACTATTGAACTTTCCTCTGTCTACCCAGTCTATACCACAACTCTTTTACAACCCAACTTTCAGCCTTCTCTTCTGAAGAGAACCCCTTCAGCCTACCTAGTCTTCTCATAGCTGAGTCACTGCAGCCCATTCAACCTCTTGATGAATCTCTCCTGCACTCTATAGTGGACAGAAAATATTCAACATGGTGCTCAGTTACAAGTGGTGTACCATAAGGATCAGTTCTGGGTCCTCTTCTGTTCTGTTTGTTTTTTTGTCAATTTGGATGTAGGAGTAGAAGGGTGGATTAGTGAGTTTGCAGATGATACAAAGGTAGGTTGAGTTGTGGATGGTGCGGAGGGCTGTTCTAGGTTACAAAGGGACATTGATAGGATGCAGAGCTGGGCTGAGAAGTGGCAGATGGAGTTTAACCCTGAAAAGTGTGAGGTGATTCATTTTGGAAGGACAAATTTGAAAGCCAAATACAGGGTTAACAGATTCTTGGCAGTGTGGAGGAGCAGAGGGATCTTGGGGTTCATGTCCACTGTTCTCTGAAAGCTGCCACCCAGGTGGATAGAGTTGTTGAGAAGGTGTATGGTATTAGCTTTCATTAATAGAGGCATTGAGTTCAAGAGCTGTGAAGTTATGCTCCAGCTATACAAAAGCCTGGTTTGGCCATATTTGGAGTATTGTCTGGTTCTAGTTGCCTCATTACAAAGATTTGGAAAAAGTGCAGAGGAGATTTACCAGGATGTTACCTGGAATGGAGGGAAGGTCTTACAAGGTGATGTTCAGAGCTAGGGCTTTTTCTCTTTAGAACAAAGAAGGATGAGAGGTGACTTGATAGAGGTGTACAAAATGATCAGGTATAGATAGTGTGGACAGCCAGAGACTTTTTCCTAGGGTGGAGGTAGCTATTACTAGAGGATACAGTTTTAAAGTGAGTGGAGGTAGATATAGGGGCGACATCAGGTAGGTTCTTTACTCAGTGGTAGGGATGTGGAATGCATTGCCGGAGAGGGTAGTGGAGTTGGCCTTGTTAGGGAATTTAATTAGCTATTAGATAGGCATCTGGATGATAGTATAAGGTAGGGGTGGAGGTTAGATAGATCTTAAATCTTTAGGTTTAGGGTAAATGTTTGGCACAATATCATGGGCTGAAGGGCCTGTACTGTGCTGTACTATTCTATGTTCTATAGAAAGTATGTAATTGCACTGTAATGTTCTAACTAGCACTCCACTGTGGTCTAGCATTAAAACAAAAAAAAACATGCTGTCTTGACCACCCTTTCTATTTACCTGTTCTGTTGCCTTCAAGGATCAATGGACATACATACCATGGTCTCTCTGATCCTGTTGACTTTCTCTGATCCTGTTGACTTCCTCTGATCAAACTCCAACATGACTTTGCTTTTAAATCTACACCTGATCTATAGATCCAATGGAGATCATCTGGCCAAATGCAAAATATTGACTGAGGAAAGAAATATCAGAATGGAGGGAACTGATCTCGAGAATGAGGTGCTATTCATTCAGCTTGTTTAGCTTCCCTGCAGCAGGCTGTGAACATGAGAACAAGCTGATCATAATAAAACAAAGAACTACTGCAGCTGCTGGAAATTTGAAACAAAACTGAATTGCTGGAGAAATTCAACCAGTCTGGCAGCATCTGCGAGGAAAGTGGAGTTAACATTTGAAGTCCGGTGAGCTGCCTTTAGAATTGTTCAGGGTTTTTTATTGAAACAGCAAGTGCCTGATGCTTCACTCGTGTTTCTAAGCAGATTTCTTCTGCAAAGAAGTCCCCAGGTTTGCATTTGGGCCGTCTGTTTGATGTGCTGCTCTCAGTAGATGTGATGAATAGAGACAAGGTGACCACTCAGGAGCACCTACTCAGGCTGCAATCATGACTGCTAAACCCCTGGTTGCTTCAGATTTCAGTACAAGATCCTGCTCTCCAACTGTATCTCAGGCCTGCTGCAGTGTTCCAACAAAACTCAATGAAGGCTGGAACATCAGTGTACGCACTCCTTTGATAGCCTACTGGACATTAACTTTCTAGGCTTCATTTTGATATTTCTATCCCCTCCACCTCCTGTGATTCTGATCCTGTTTATATTTTCCTTTCTGTCACAGCTGACAATTAGAAAAAAGGCTCTCTTGACATAGCAATAGAGTAAAATTTTCTATTACTTCATCAGATTAAAACCATAACACATCACTACAATTCTGTTATCACGGATGATGCCAGGAGTTTCTCCAGCCCTTGTTTAACATGGCAGTTGGTCAGGAGCAAGAAGACATCCTATAAATGTTCAACGGGGCATTGGATAAATGAATAAGAACAGGACTTGCAAATTCTTTCAAACGACTGAGCTGTTAGTTTCCAAGATAATCTGATTTTTTTTTTCCTTTTTTTTTCCCCTTGGGGTATTTGTGTAGCTGTGTTCTGTTAACTAATTCTGATTTTCACAATCTCCAGTGAAGGTTTTTGGAGAATTTGTTGACAATTCTTGCACCCATAGGTGAAGAATGAATGTCAATTGTCTTTATTTCATTCCCAGTTTGCAGTTAGCTGAGCACTACACTGAAACAAATCAGCCTAATGTTTTAAGCCATTGGCCAAGGTCTACCATCTTCAATGATATTCACTTCAAGGTCACAAGGCTTAATTTTTATTCACTCATGGGACATGGGTGTTGCTGGCTAGGCCAATATTTATTGCTGTCCCTTGTTATCCTTGAAGGTGGTGAGCTGCCACCTATAAACCATCGCAGTTCATGTTGAAGTGGTCTGTCTGGTTTCATTTCTTTGAAATGTTGTAGTGTTGTTACAACTGAATGGCTTGCGAGGCCGCTTCAAAGGGCAGGTGAGAGTCAACCACATTACTTGTGAGTCTGGAGTTATCGTGTAGGCTGGACCAGGTAAGGATGGCAGATTTGCTTCCTTGAAGAGCATTAGTGAACCAGACGGGATTTTTCTGACAACCAGCAATGGTTTCATGCTTATCAATAAATATCAGGAATTAAAAGTCTGGTGAATTCAAATCCCACCATCTGCTGTGGTGGGAGTCAAACGCAAGTCCCTAGAACGTTAGCCGAGTTTCTGGATTAATAGTTCAGCAACAGTACCGCTAGACGATCATCTCAATGTTCAAAAACCCTGGCATCATCTAAAATAAAACAGCATGTTTTGGCACCATTTCCAACGTTCATTCCCTTCACTACTGACACAATGGCAAAAGCGTGTACCATCTACATAATAGTCATAGGGAAATACAGCATAGAAACTGACCCTTCAGCCCATCAAGTGTGCACCAGTCATGAACAACCGCCTAACTATACCAATTCCTTTTGGAGGGATAGAGGCCAAACGCTGGCAGATGGGACTAGATCAGTTTAGGAAATCTGGTGGGTTTGGATCGAAGATTTCTGTTTCCGTGCTCTAGACACGGACCATCTCTGAATTGCTGTTAAAGAACAGACAGTGGGCGGCGGCTGTAGTGGAGGCTATTGGGTAGGACTGACACTGATGGATGAACGGTTGGTTTCAAAATCTTTAGTTTTGCAGGTTGGTTGAGATTTACAAATCGGTGGAAACCCCTGGCAGCACCCTCAGCAGCGTAGGGGAGGGGAGGGCAATCCTTGTGACTGAAGTGGTCCCAGAGACAGCTCAGTACCACCACCTCCAGGCCAACACAGGTTGGGAAATTAATACTGTCGGAGTGCACAAAGCTGAAGAAGGGATTTCAAAAACGAAAGCTCCGGCGCGAGATAACACAGTGTAGAGCTGGATGAACACAGCAGGCCAAGCAGCAACAGAGGAGCAGGAAGGCTGGTGTTTCGGGTCCGACGCGAGATGGCCAGTTTAGGGGAAGGGCTTTTGTTTTAAGCGCCGAGTGATAGCAGTAACACAGTGTCCAGGGGTGACGGAGCATGGAGGGGGAGTTTGCACAGCAGGATTCCCCAGGGCTTGCGGGACTGTACCCGGGGAACCACGAGAGACGGCCCGGGGAGAGCCCAGCTTCTTCCTTCACTGCTATCGCGCCCAGGGATTTACAGCAGAGGTGCTCTATCGGCTCCGGGGGCTTCGGAGAGGTTTACAAAGCTCGGCACCACTCTTGGGGGATCTGGGTTGCAGTCAAGTACCTTAGGGTGAATGGGAGGTAAGGAACGATTCTCTGTTATTTTGGTGGGGGGGGGGTGTAGCGCGGACAGATTTACATTGAGAACACTTCCTTTTGCCGACTGTGCTGGTGAGTGAGGAGGTTGTTCTTTGTAACTTTACATCTTTCAAAAACAAAACTTTTCCATTCAATCTCAACAGTGTGCAGTCAATCTGCTTCTAACCAGGTTCCGCAGGCTGGGGAATATTTAACTAGAATTTACTGAGCAACAAACAACAATTTCCGCAAGATTTTGCACAGAACGTTGCTTAGTTGCATGGGCGCCATTAGACTAGTTTGAAATTCCAGATTTCTACTGAATACAATTCAGATTTTGCCATTTAAAGACATAGCATGGAAACAGACCCTTTCATCCAACACGTCCGTGCCGACCAGATATCCTAAATTAATCTACGTCCCACTTGCCAGCATTTGGCCCATATCTCTCTTAAACCCTTCTTATTCGTGTACCTATTCAGATGCCTTTTAGATGTTGTAATTGTACCTGCCTCCACCACCTCTTCTGGCTGCTCTTTGTGTGAAAAAGTTTCCCCCAAAGTCCCTTTCAAATCTTATCCCTCCCCACCTTAAATCTATGCCCTCTATTTTTGCACTCCCAGAGTCTCAGAAAAAGACCTTGGCTAATCACCCTATCCATGCCCCTCATTATTTTATAAGCTTCCATAAGGTCACCCCTCAGCCTCTGATGCTCCAGGGAAAATAGCCCCAGTCGATTCAGCCTCTCCCTATAGCTCAAACCCTCCAGCCCTGACAACATCCTTGTAAATCTTTTCTGAATCCTTTCACGTTTGAACCAAATGTCCAGAGAATTGGCACAGTCTAATAGCCTAACCTAGATTACTGGTCCAGTGATAATTACATTGCCTCCGCTGAACGGGCACTGCACCCTCTCCAGTACATCTGAGTGATTTTGGACAGGTAATTGAGCAATTTTCACCAGCATCTTATCTGAAACTTCCAGCATCTGCAGCATTTTGCTTTTATTAAACAACTGGATAACTCCTTAACCAAGCGGGACCACAGAATTAGTATGGTATGGAAGGAGATTATTTGGCCCATCATGTCTGTATAGTGGTGAGATTTTGGCGGCAGTGGGATTTGAACAAATAACTCAGTTGAGACTGGAGATTTTTTAAAAAAAAACTAGCACCTTAGACCATTCAGCCATGCCACCACAGATTACTATTGCACCTAAACATGCCATTTAGAATATTGAATTTGATGTCAATCAGGCACATAAAACAAAATAGAGTGAAGGAATGCAAAGTTGGATTCTGCTTCTGGTTGTTTCTTGAGATAACAAGGACACTTACACCTTCCATGGTCATTGAAGTTCTGGAGGGAGACCTGAATCCAGAACTTCAGGCTTAAGAGGTAGGGACACCACCCCATTGCACCACAACCCTTCACGTAATCAATTGAGAGACATATAAAAGAGACAGAAAATAACCAAAGGTATTGAAGGGTTTTATGGCACAGTGACAGCGTCCCTCCCTAAGAGCTAGAGGGCCCAAGTTCAAGTCATACCTGCTGAAGAGGTATGTTATGTTATAATGTGCCCCAACAGATTAATTAAAAATCTTTGCTTGAAAAAGTTGGAATTGACATGTGGGGGAGGGAAAAAAGCTACAACAACAATTAAAAGCTGAAGGATAGGTGGCACAGTGGCACAGTGGTTAGTACTGATACCTCAAAGTGCCAGGGACCCGGGTTTGATCCCAACTCGGGTGACTGTCCGTGTCAAGTTTGCACGTTCTCCCTATGTCTGCGTGGGTTTCCTCCGGGTGCTCCGGTTTCCTCCTCCATTCCAAAGATGTGTAAGTTAGGTAGATTGGCCATGCTGAATTGCCTGTAGTGTTCAGGGATGTGTAGGTTAGGTGCAGGGAAATGCAGAGTTACAGGGATAGGGTAGGGGAATCGGTTTGGGTGGGATGCTCTTTGCATGGTCAGTGTGGACTTGAAGGGCTGAATGGGCTGCTCCCACAGTGTAGGGAATCTATGATGACTGAGTCTTCACAGTTGCAATAATTAACTTTCAGAGGTTATTTGACTGAAATCAGGCTATCTCACACCAATAAACATGGTAACTAGATAGGAAGGGATGAAGTTTTATGTAGAGTTTGGTTCATAGCTGCCATACAAATACATGAACTTCACACTGCTCAATACTTTTGAATGTTGCATCATGCAGTGAGGCGTTGTTTCCAGGAAGTTAATGGTAGAACAGTGCATCTCTCTCACCACAGTTATATTTATCCAAGTATCTGACCTAGTCTAACATTACTGTGTGATTTGTGCATTATTAACAGTGACTGCCATTAACCTCATCATTACCTTACAGTAAACTCTTGACCAGTACGTCAGGGTTCCTGTTATTTGGTACAAGTTCTGTCGTTCTGTTTTATTCAAAGAAAGTTTGCTGTGTATCGAAATTTTAGAGACAGGCTGCATTCGATTGCGTCATCAACTTAACAAAAACATTCAAGTTATTTAAAAAAAAACTTCAGTCTAAAGGAGAAGCAGTCATTTGGAATGGTATCTTTATTCATTGCTAGCTGTGCAGCATTTATTGCCCATCCCTAATTACCCAGAGGGCAGTCAAGAGTCAACCACATTGCTGTGGGTTTGGAGTCACATGTGGGCCAGACCAGGTAAGGATGGCAGTTTCCTTCCCTAAAGGACATTAGTGACCCAGGTAGGTTTTCCCCCTAACAATCAACAATGGACTCTAATTTCAACATCTGCCATAGCAGGATTTGAACCTGGGTCCCCAGAACATTATCTGGGTTTCTAGGTTAGCAGTCCAGCAGTAATATCACTCAGCCATTGCTTCCCCTGTGGGCAATATGTATCCCTATTAAGGATAATAAGCTCACACTTTTATCAATCAAAAAAGACTACTGGAGAAATAAGATGGGTACAATAATATTCTGACCAGTGTTCTTCAATGATTTATAAGAAACACACTTTGATAATCCACTTTATCATGCTTTGAGAAATTTGGGCTGCTGTGATTCATCTACATCACTCTGATGTCTGTGCTTCAGAAATACTTTATTGCCTGTGAAGTGGTTTGGGGCATTCTGTGGATGTGAAAGATGCCACATTAATGCAGGAAAATGTTGCACCGATTTTAAGGTTTTGATGTTTTAGTGTCGTGAGGGTACTATTTGTATATGTTATTCTCATAAATCCCGTCTGTGATATTGCCGTGTGCTCAGCTCTTGGTTGGCCACGGTAGGATTGTAGGAGCACGAGCAGGATGGGATCTGAGACGTTGAGGCTGGGATGGTGATGAGCAATCTCACTGTGGTGTCTCTCTGTGAACCTGTTTGCTGTTACAGTGACAAGCAGGAGTTGTTAGAAGAAGCAAAGAAGATGCACAGAGCGCAATTTGAACACACCCTGCGGTTGTACGGAGTTACGGAAGATAACATGAAGGATGGACAGCCATCATTGGGATTAGTAACAGAATTCATGGAGGCTGGATCATTAGATAAACTCCTTGTGAACTATGATGTCCCATGGCCTCTGCGCCTGCGTTTTGCATATGAAATTGCTTTAGGAGTGAACTACCTACATAACCTGAAGCCAGCACTCTTTCACCATGACTTGAAACCTGCCAATATTCTACTGAATAACGACTATCATGTGAAGGTAAATGGAATATATTGTTAAACCTGGTGCATTGTTCTAGCACCTAAATGCATTGATTGCCTGTTTAATCTCAGCGCGCCCACCTTGGGAGGAAGGGAGTAAGGGGCGCTTGAAAACTGGTTATCCCCACCCGCCTGGCAACCTGCAAAATGAAAGGGGAGAGGGAATAACTTGAAAGGCAAAACCCAAAATAAAACCAGGAAACACTGAGCATTGCCAGTCAGCCAGTATGTAAGCGATGAAAGGGCAGGCTAAAATTCTGAGTCATGACCTTCATCATAAATCTGCGACGTGAGCCCAGGTATTGGAGGCAGGACCCAGCCTGAATTATTAGGAAAGAAGATGAGGCTTGGAAAGTAATTATAGTTTCACTGAGCTGAGTGGGTGTTCCCCAGTTATTGAGGAGGAAAGGTCAACTGGAAACAAAATCACAAATATCAGGTTAAAACAGATCTCCTCCCACATGGAATTGGCTGGTTGCAATGCAGGGAATTGTTTCTGCAGCGCAAAATGACTTCTCCAATCCTATGCTCCTGGATTGCAGGAGCAATCACTCACTCGCTCACTTTGTCCGAGTGAAATACACCTTTCAGACCATATACGTCACATTTGAACTTTCTTTCTTTCTTCCTAGATCTGTGACTTTGGCCTGGCCAAGTGGCGCAAATCCACAGGGCAGTATAGCTGTGAAAGTAGCAAATTCGAGGGGACACTTAGTTACATACCACCCGAATGTTTCAAGGACGTCAATACCAGAGGAGATGTGAAGTTTGATGTGTACAGGTCAGTAGAAAAAATGTCATCAATGGTCACCCTGTGATACAGAAAATTGTTTCCAAAGGATCTTTTGTTTTACCTTTGTTACTTGAGTGCCCAAGACTTATTTGACCTTCTTTAACATCCACAAAGCAGAAGCAACAATCGGGTGTCTCTTTGAAGGGGTGGGGGGAGCATGGTCACAGGGAGTTGGGCAGCACCACCATTAGGGGATGGGCAGAATTGTCACGGGGGAGCGGGCAGTGATTGCATGCCTGCAGACAGTGTTCCCTCTAAACTGCACACTCCAAAGTTCCACACATGCTGGTTGCTGTTAGCACGCCGATCGCAGCATTGACTTTCAATTCCGGAGGTATTGGAATACCGCGGAAAGAAAGTTTGAGGGAATGCTGGCTGAGGCGGGGGGCAGCCTGGCTGACTGACCCTGCCCTGTTCATGGGATAGATTTTCAATTTGATGCCCGTGTATAACCCTGACTTTGTAGGACCAGCTGCTTACTATGGAACCTGACCGCGGAGGGGTGTTCATATTTTACTTTAATAGCAGCATTATGTCTGAATGGGAAGTTGAAGATCCACGGACATGTATACTTTCCAGCCATATTCATTAGATAAAACCACACAGTCTAGGAGCAAACATAGAACATACAGCTCGAGGACGTCTCTGCAGGAGTTCCTCCGTGCAGGCCCTAGGCCTTACCGTCTTCAGCTGCTTCATCAATGACCTTCCCTCCATCATAAGGTCAGAAATGGGGATGTTCGCTGATGATTGCACAATGTTTCAGCACCATTCGTGAATCCTCAGACACTGAAGCAGTCCATGTTCACATGCAACAAGATCTGGGCAATATCCAGGCTTGGGCTGACAAGTGGCATTCACACCACACAAAATGCCAGGCTATGACCATCACCAATAAGAGACAATCTAACCACTGCCCCTTGACATTCAATGGTGTTACCATCACCGTGTCAACATTCTTGGGGTAACCATTGACCAGAAACTCAACAGGAATCACCACATAAACAGTGTCTACAAGAGCAGGTCAGAGGCTGGGAATATTGCAGCAAATAACTCACCTCCTGACTCCTCAAAGCCTGTCCACCATCTACAAGGCACAAGCCAGGAGTGTGATGGAATACTTCCCACTTGCCTGGATGGGTGCAGCTCCAACAGCACGAGAAGCTCGACACCATCCAGGACAAAGCAGCCCGCTTAATTGGCATCACGTCCACAAGCATTCGCTCTGTCCAGCAACGACGCTAAGTAGCAGCAGTGAGTATTATCTACAAGATGCACTGTAGAAATTCACTGAGTCTCCTTAGGCAGAACCTTCCAAACCCACATCCTTCTAGAAGAACAAGGGCAGCAGATAATTGGGAACACCACCACCTGCAAGATCCCCTCCAAAACTGTCATCATTCTAACTTGGAAATACATTGCTGCTCCTTTACTGTCACTGGGTCAAAATCCTGGAATTCCATCCCTAACAACATTGTGGCTTTACTTGCAGCACATGGACCGCAGTGGTTCAAGTAGGTACCATGCCACCACCTTCTCAAGGGTGACTGGGGACTGCCAATAAATGCTGGCCCAGCTAGCGATGCCCTTATCACTTGAGTAAATAAGAAAAAGCTTGTTGATCCTGCTTCACCATTCTGTATAATCATGACTGATCATGTGTTTCAACTTCATTTTCCTGTCGATACCCTGTATCCTTTGATTCTTTGAGACATCAAAAAGCTATCTGTCTGTGTTATGAACTGGTGACACCTCTCTTTGCTTTAGCACAACAGATTCCTTTGATTGGAAAGGATATGTTGCCAGTTTAGTGAGTACTGAACTATTTGCATGCTGCGATCATTAAAGAGCTAATTGGACAGGCTTTCTTAAATTTAACAAAGACAGGTTAATATTACTCATCTAAAACCTTCTAAGTAAAATAATAAAGTATGCTCTAACTTGCACGCTTATGCTAAATTCTACTCATGGACAAGTAGAGGTTACAGAGTAGGAAAGGATGGATTGGTCAAAGAGTCTGTTTAAATTGAAGTCAAAGACTCTGCAATGGCTCAGTTTCAGGCTGAACTTGTTGGCTTGAATTTCCAATTTAAAGATGTAGGCATTGAGTTGTTTGTTCCTCGGGAGCCACAGCAGGGAGTTGAGTCCTTCCGTAAAAATCTCTGCCTGCTGCACATGGAGAGGGAGTCACCAACAGAAGACAGGGCTAGAGCTTCCGAGTTGTGCATGGAGTGTGACAGAGAGAAAGGCAGGAGAGACGTGAGCATTTCCTTAGGGGATGGCTTGTTTTGAGATTGCTCTTCTCCAAATATCACTAATTCAAATATGATCACATCTTCCAATTGCAACTTAATTAACTGATCAGCTCATTTTTATTGAGCTGTTTTAAACCAGGGTCCCATTGATCAGAACCTGGCTATTTTGTGATCCATTTCCAACACCTAATACCTAATAAAGAGATTGCCCTTGGTGCCTTGTTAGTAAGGCAGTATAAATGGGGTCTTTTGCACTCTTCATGTGGCCTTTATCTTTGGGTGGGGAGAATTTGCAGATCTGATGGTTTCATTTTAATGTGGTTGGAATCTGGCATTTATCATTTGCGTATTCGGTGTTTATCTTGGCTATGAGCTCAAGACACTTCTCGTGTGTACTTTCAGTACTTATAGTTTTAAAAGAGTTCAACTTGACGTTTTCAGCAGATGGACTAAAATCATTATTTGGCATAAGTATGTCTTTGTAGCTTAGGTCTCAAACATGTTCAGTGTTAGAACATCTGCAGTCCTCTAGGGGTGGAAAAGTATAAAGATTCCAAGCCCTGTCAGTGAAAAAATTTCTTCTTATTCAATCCTAAATGATTACCCCTTTATCCTGAGGTTTTCCCACAATGGTCTAGATTCCTAGGATAATGAAAGCAACCTCTCAGTCTACCCTGTCCAACCGACTAGATCACCCTTGTTTCTTCTCAACCCTGGAAAAGCATAGGCCTAACTTAGCCTCTAACTGTAGGACAGATGTCTTACCCCAGGATCCAACTTAGTAATATTTTGTAATAGCATCCTAGATAATGATCAGTACTTTATTTTGACTAATTTTGCTGTCATCGTCCAACATGCAGCAGTGTTGTGTGAGATTTGCTAATGCCTGATAACTATTTGCCACTTTCAGTCTAAGAATAAAAGGCAGTCACTTCCTGTTAGAGACCTTACTGAAAACCGGGCCTCAAAGCCACCCCTCCCTTTGACATCTTCCTGAGCAATTAATCTTTAAGGAACCTCTAGATAGAAAGTAATTTGATCATAAATGGACACGTCAAACTGCAACCAAATAATGCAATGTGATTTGTAATATTATGATTCAGTTCTTTCTAAAATAACACATTCTCCATTTTATTGAGTGGATTACCCATGGGCAGTCTGTACATTTTTTGAAAAGCCTTTTAATCGAGCCTTTCACTGGGATCATCATGGAATGTGCACAACAGATATTGAAATTGTTAAGGAATAAATTAAATACAAACATTACTGACAGTGCACTGTTAGATCAATGAGCAGGCAGTTGTGTATGGTACTGAAGGTTTTGAGATTCTGACTTTTACTTTCACTTTCAGAGCTGCAGTTTTGTTTCCAGGCCAATTAGTCGACAAATTATCTGACCGGAGATTGGTTGTCTACTTTGTGGTTATAACTAGGATCAATCATAATCTTCAGATACTTTAATATTTGTGGTTTCAACTGTCCAGCCAAAGATTAGTTTAACCTGATCATTGAAATGAGATTTACTGCTTGCTTTATGCATGTGCTCGTTTGTTACCTTGGCTTGTGACAGAGTTGGATCTCAGCGAGGCACGCACCGTGCTGTCATATTATCGAAAATCCTTCTTGGGATCACTGAATAATGGGAAGAAGAGGTGGACTCTTGAACAGATCCCACTGCACACTGCCCCCTGGTGGGCTGGGTGTGTACCCCAAACTTAAAGGATTTCCTTCCCATTTGCCCCACCTACCATGAAGATAACATCTTTTACTCTTTATCATCCTGATTGCTTCCCCCTTTGGCATGAGTTTTTTTTCTCTGGTTCCCGACAGGGGATTGTAACAATGTCTATATGACTGATTGCTTAAACTTTAACCTGAGTTTAATGCTGTAATGAATAACTTTATGGCTATTCTCTGTTTATAATCTTGTAGCTATGGAATTATCATCTGGGAGATAATAACTTGCCAAAAGCCTTACAAAAGTAAGTTCAACTGAGTGTGTGTCGCTATTCTTTCTCATCTGTTGTGTGGAGACATTGTCAATCTTAATTGAAGTAAGCTACGTCCCTGTGTTTATTAAAATGAAAGAGAATCTTGTATTTTAGTTTGTTACATTTTTCTCATTACACACCTGCAGTGGGTCCTTTTCAGATACTTTCTACACTCCAATAATTCTGTTTTTTGTATGTATAACATATACACAGTTCTTCTCATGTCTAATCCATGGATCTCTCTGGGAAGCAGTGTATCTGATCCTTTAACTGATCATTAATGGGCTTCTCGCTCTGTTGTACTGGGTTGGGCAGTATGTGACGGCCAGATCTCCCATCCGATCAGTCCAATACCGTGAGTGTGCCCATGTGCACTAATTCAGCAACAGGATTCACAAGCACTCCTTGCATTTGTGACCACACATCCCCTTGCCAGTTGCTGTAGGAAGGTCATACAGATCCAAGATGTGAGCCACATGTGACTGTGTGGCACAGGGTGCACTGTGCAACTTGACGTTGGCCTGAATAAAGTGAAGCAGAGCCTTCGGGCCAACCCATCCATACCAACCAGGTTTCCTAAGCTGAAATATTTGCCTGCACTTGGCTCGTATCTCCCTCAACCTTTGTACAAATGTCTTTTTAAATGTTGTGACTGTACTGTCCTGTACCACTTCCTCTAGAAGTTCATTCCAGACATGCACCATACTCTATGGAAAAAGGTTGCCCCTTAGGTCCCTTTTAAGTCATTCCCCTTTCACCTTAAATCTCATGCCCTCTAGTTTTGGACTCCCCTACCCTGGGGAAATGACCTCAGCTGTTCACCTTATCTATGCCCATCATGATTTTGTAAATCTCTATAATGGACATCTGTCAGCCTCCTACACTCCAGGGAAAAGTAGTCCCCGCCTACCCAGCCTCTACTTATAACTCAAATTCTCCAGTCTCGGTAACATCATTGTAAATCTTTTTTGCACCCTTTCCAGTTTAATAACATCCTTCCCTACAGCAGGGCGACCAGAATTGTGTGCAGCACTCCAAATACAGCCTTAGCAAAGTCTTGTGTACAGCTGTAACGTGATGTCTCAACTCCGATACTCAAGGTGCATTTATATTTCAGATAAACCTCCTCTTGAGGTATCTGTTCTCCCCAATGTGGTCTGGAGTGTTTTCTTATCTACGTTACAGTGTTGAGACTGAGGTCAGGCTGAACGTTGGGAGCACTGCTGTCATGGGAAGCGGATTCTACACCTCATTGTAATCAGAGGCTGGATAATTTGTCGTGAAGCACACTGATCAATGTTTTAAAATTCAACCGCGGACATTTTATAGGCCAGCAGATATCGTTTGCGCACACGCCTAATTGTATCTAGCGCCTCTCTGTTATCCCGTTTAATGTCACACAAACACTGCTGTCTGATTTTTCAGCTATTGCTGCCTGATTTGTACTCTCTGTCCCCTTTCTCAGATGCTGTAAATTCTCAGCAAATAAAACTCTGTGTGGAAAGGGGTGCCAGGCCAGACTGTGATGCGATTCCTCAGGATCTACCAGAATCAGCTGAAGTACTTATTCCCCTGATGAAGAAGTGTTGGCATTCAATCCCCGATGAACGGCCAACCTTTTTAAGTATGTTTTACAGTTCCTGTCATTGTGAAACATTACCAAGCTGTTGTAATGGGGCAAGGGTTACCCCGAGGACTGTTAAGAAGCAGTACTGGCTGCTTACCCCTTCCAACATCACCAGCCATGTGCAGACATACAGTAGTTAATGTATCTCTTTGTTACAGGGTGTGCTTATGATTTGGAACCAACGCAGTCAAATGAGCAGGACATTCAAGTTGCAATCCAGGACCTGACAAAACAGGTATTGGTCTTGGCTACTCTTCCAAACCGGCGATTTGTCGATATGGTGCATTGTTCAATTTGTTTATTTCCTCTTCTCCTGTTTTGAGACAACGTTTCCCTCTGCCCTTCTGAAGATACTGACTCCCCCTGCTTAAGGTCCCGTTCCTTAGGCGATCGGGGCATTTCCCTGAAGTGCCAGTCCTTGCAAACCCGGGTGTGAATGCTGCTGTGCCGTTCCTCTACGGTGGGCAGGGAGCTCAGACTCGATTCTTCCCTCAATAAGGAGTCTTTACTATCCAATGCACAGCCAGCAGGGAGAAAGATTGGGAATTTTGGCTGATTTGAGCCTACCTAGCTCTACAACTAGTGTTAATGCTTCCATTGCTGATGTTACTCTTAACATGCACAACAGGGCAAGCAATATTTTAATGACAACTTCTTGCGTGAGTCTTAGTTTAGCACTTCGTATTGCTGTATTAGTGCCCACTCTGCCACAGCTTTAAGAAGCTGTACTTTATCTGAGAGAGAGAGAAATGACAGCAGTGTGGGAAAAAGTGTGTCTGGATGCGTGCTTTTGAATTTATTCTTAACGGTGTCATGAGAGGACTCTGTACCGTCAATCTAGGAGTAGCATTACTGCATTCCCTGGTCATTAGAATAAACATTTCCAAAACACCCCTGAACTCCCCAGAACACTGCACTCGATAAACACCAGTATTACCTTGTCGCAGTACCGATCCTTCTGCTCAACAAAGGAGCTGAGTATTTTGCAAACAGGAGTTTTGTTCACCAAACATCGAATCATAGAATCCCTACAGCGTGGAAGCAGGCCATTTAGCCCAACAAGTCTACACCACCCTGCTGAAGAGCAGAGTGTTTGTAAGTCCCTGTAACTCCATATTTCCCACGGCTAACCCACCCAGCCTGCACATCCCTGGACACTACGGGCGATTTAGCATGGCCAATCCACCTAGCCTGCACATCTTTGGACTGTGGGAGGAAACTGGAGCACCCGTAGGGAACCCACGCTGACACTGGGAGAATGTGCAAACTCCACACAGACAGTCACCAGAGAAAGGAACCAAACATGTGAATTGGAATTAAAAAGCATTCCCAGTAAAAGAAGACATTGAAAATAAGAATTAAATAAGACATGCTTACGACAGAATTGTATTGCACCAAGTCATTTAAAAAATGGTTAGATGGCACTAAATTTAGGTTTATGAAGTCTGTAGATTGTCAGAGGGTGGTGAAGCAGAAGGAGATGCAGTTTTGAAAATCCAGAAAGAAGACAGTGTATTGGTCCTGGCTGAGATCGGGAGGAGGTTGGAGATGGAGGGAGGAGGTGTAAGTGGACGTTTTTTTTGTAGCTTAGAAACCAGCAATGAGGAAAAATGAAAGCAGCTAACTGCAGGTGTTTTGTTATTTTTCCTGAACTACTTATGTTTATTTCTGTACAGAAGTCACAGTCTGTGGATGGAGTTTCTGACTGGGCAATGCTGAGAGATAGTGAAGACAACAGATCCCTTTATGGTAATGTTCGTCAAGAGCTCCTTTCTCAGACTCAACCCTGTCCAAATTAAGGCATAATCTTGTACCAACACTATGCTCCTTGTCGCTCACCAGTTACCAATGTAGCCTTTAGATCCATCGTGTTTTACATCAGTATTAATGTGACTGCAGAAGGATGAAGTACAAGTCGCCCCATACCCTAATCACCCAGACTGGTATTGCAGCCAGCTCTCAAACATCTGCTCATGCTTCGATTAGTCATACTGTCCCGAGGGCCTGCCCAATGGAGGAAGTACTGTAACTAAGATGCAATAAAATCCCATTGGAGCATGAGGTGTCGTTGCCAAAATACAGCCCCACCCAGTGCAAAGGTATCATAGCTGGGAGTAGATGGCCTATTGTGAAGGTGTCATAGCTAAGAGTATTTCGGTGGTGCTGACAAGTTATGTTTGTTTGCTACCGGGTGTCAGATGCACAGAGATACCAAAGGCTCTTATTTTGGACCACAAATACTGAGCAGATACACAACATTGTGGACGATGAATGGGCCAGAACTTCGAAGCTAGATTTGAGGCAGTTAAGACAAAAGAATCCATGAACCTCCAGGAGGTTGTAGTCCGAGTCCAAAGGAAATATTCCAGGGGGCTGGAACTCTGAACTGAAACCAGATTATGCTGGAAATACTCTGTGGATCTGGCAGCAATTTCAGGGTAATGACCTTTGGTTCCAACTGCAATTTAACTAGTTTTCCTTTTCCTGTGTCTAGTGACGTATGAGATGGACAAAGCAGTTAGTTATTCCTGGGATAGACAGCTAACCTTCGATAGCTTACTGTGTGGCACTCCATTGACTTGGATGCCTGTAGCTGAACTGGAAGGTTTTACAGGATGAAAAGTAATATCTTTGGCCAAGATATGAACGGACTTTTGTTTTGGCTGTTGCATCCCACAGTAGACCTTGAACCCAGAGACTCGGATGTTCATCTTACCACAAGACCTCCCTGTTTCGTTATTTAACTTTAGTTTGATTTGTAACGAGAAGAGTGAGGCCAGGAATCCTACAATTACTGCATCAGTGCTGGATGTTTTATACAAAGCTCTGTGCATGACTTTGTATCTGGATGGTATCTATTGGATTAATATTAAATAGGACACTGGAAAGAGCCCTGGGATCAACTGTTCAGTCCTTTCCTATCTAGTGCCCACGCTTCGAAATGATAGCAGCCAGGTGGGTTCTCTTAGACCGCAGGAGATACTTCCCACATAGTCTCAGTCCACAGCCTTCATAGTATTAGATTGTACATAGCAGGAGGCAGTAACACTGATGTGCCTTCCCTCAATGATAGTGCATTGACTGCTAACACTGCTGGATGGTCAGTTGACTGCTCGCTGTAAATGGTGTGAATAGATATGATCATTTGCACAGAAAGAGTCACATGCTAAACCCTGGGACTTTGAAAACTTCTCATTCTTTTTATCTGGCCTGACCACGTGCTGCAGTTCCACCGAGTCACCACCAGGTAGCAGTAGAGGCTCATGATTGCACAGAATCACATTTCCAGTGTCATCAAGACTGATATGATCTCAGTCTTAAGGTATCCTCACGCTCAGGATTACAGAGATCCTTCTGTTCAGTGATAACGTTTTGTGCTGATTGCTAACTGTTCTGGATTTTGTCTAGAACCGGTCGAGGAACAGGATGGGCCCATCAACTTGGTCGGTGAGTTAGTGCTTGTCTCTATCTGTGAAGTTGTGAATGATGTTGAATATTATCAGTGAATCCACCAACGTCTGACACTTTGCTGCAGTTCCATTGAGTCAGCACTAGGTAGTGCCAGAGGCTCATAGAAACAGAAAATGGGAGCAGGAGGAGGCCATTCGGCCCATTGAGTTTGCTCCACCTTTCAATATGATTGTTCAACTCAATAGCTTGTTCCTGCCTTGCCTTCACCCCACCCCGCCCCATATCCTTTGATCCCTTTAGCCCCAATATCTAACTCCTCCTTGAAGTCATACAATGTTTTGGCCTTGAATTCCACAGGCTCACCTCTCCTCATAAGTCAGTCTCGCCATCTCAAGAATCTGGTAAACCTTTGCTTCACCCCCTCTATAGCAAGAACATCCTTCCTCAGATAATGAGACCAAAACTGCTTAAAATACTCCACGTGTGGTTTCAACAGGACCCTGTACATTGGCAGTAAAACATCCCTGCTCCTGTACTCGAATCCTCTCGATATGAAAGCCAACATACCAGTTGTCATCTTTACTAACTGTGGCACCGCCATGCTTACCTTCAGTGACTGGTGTTCGAGTTACGCATTCCCCTCTCACATTCAGATAATAATCTGCCTTCCTGTTTCCCTACCAAAGTGGATAACATCACATTTATCCACACTGTACTGCATCTGCCATGTTTTTTCCCCACTCACCCAAAATTATACAAATTGCACTGCAATATCTCTGTATCCTCGTCACAGCTCATCCTCCCACCCAGCTTTGTCTCACCTCATTGTAGATTGTACAGAATGATTAAGACTGTTTTGTCAGAACTAATCTGAGCCTTTTTTTTTATAAGTGTCCTCAGACTCAGGAATGAGGAAATCCTTCTGTTCAAAGATGAATTTTTGTGATGTAATATTTTGTGCTGATTGCCAACTGTTCTCTGTTTTGTTTAGAACCAGTTCCGGAACAGAATGAGCCCATCAAAGTAGTTGGTGAGTCAGTGCGTGTCTCTCTGTAAACAAACAAGATGCCGGGTGACCCTTAGCCTTGCTGAATGGCAGAGAGTTTCCAGACACATGTCTGTGCAGCTTGAGCTGATCCTGTCTGGTACCAGAGAAGTTGGTCTTGGTTTCTTGTTGCTATTTTTGACACACATTCACTGCGTGCATGCGTACCTGTGTGTGTGTCTGCGTGCATGCGTACCTGTGTGTGTGCCTGCGTGCATGCGTACCTGTGTGTGTGCCTGCGTGCATGCGTACCTG